CGGGCCCCTCCGCGCCGGCGCTGAGTCTCCGAGCAGCCACCTTGGCATTGGGGCAGCTGCAGCGAGGCTCGACGGAGCGCTTGTGTGTCCCCTTCAGCCTGTCCCCTCCGCACCGGTGCTGAGCACCGCGTGCCCCTTGAGCCTGCCCGACCCAGGGCGGGAAGGTGGTGTGCTAGGCATGGTTTGGCCCAAAAGACTGATAATACCGTTCAGCTATTTCCTCTTTCTGTTTCGCAGTGCGTTTCCTCTCGGCGCAGCAGAAAAAGGCTGTTTTTTTCCACCTGAGCGCTGCAAGCAGCAGGGCACCGAGCAGGGAAGCCCTGGGGCAGGGGGATGCACGGCCCTGGCATGTTTCCCGTCTTGTCCCTTCCTGGATGGCGTTGTGTCAAGGGGAGACACCAGAGCCCGCTGCTCCGTGCTGGCAAACCACAAAGACCCGGGGCTCTGACGGGGTGACAGCTTTCTCCTGGACGTGCAACCCCGGGGAGACTTGGCTCCTCCATCCATTCTGCTGGGGATGCTTAAAGCTTTGCCAAGCTGCTGCGCTCTTGATGCTGGCAGCCCCCGGGGAGCGAGAAGCAGTCGAGTTTTAGCAAACCCTGGAGGGAGCGATTCAGCGCAGCCCCAGCGCGGCCGTGCCTCCGTCCGCGCCAGCCCCAGGCGAGCTGCCTCCTTGCGTCAGCAGTTGGCAGCTGGAACCGCAGAACCGCAAGGTCTTGCCTCCGCTGGAGGAGCTCTTCCTCCCCCAGCGAAAGGTGGCTCAGCCCTGGGGCCTCTCCCAATTTGCAGCCCCTTGAGTCCTGGCACAGACCGGGGGGCATCTAATCCAACCGGCGCCAACACAGCTGGTGCCGGCTTGTTTCTCCTGAAGTCTCCACTGCTGCTTCCACTGGTGGAGCGAAACCTTGGCCCAGGGTGTCATTGCAAGCCACTGGCGGTGTATCTGTGGCCACATGCAACCTTCCCTTCCCTTCTTTCCCCACGCTTGAACTGAGGCCAAGACTAGCTATTATTCACATTAGTGCCTGCCCAAGAAGGCATCCACTGAGCAGGCTGGAGTCAGTGGGAAAAGTCAGCTCACCCGCTGCGCTCCCCGGCCGCGGCGCAGCGCTCTGTGTCCCTTGGGAATTAACCCCCTCCCCTGCTGCCCCAGACTGTCCCCAGAGAGCCGCAACGGACTGGGGCTGGGAGCTGTGCCATCACCGCACGCAGCCTTTCACCAGGATTGAACCCCGTACTCAGCGGGGAGGCAGCTCCGCTAGGGACAGCCGGCGGGCCCCGGCAGGAGGGGAAGGAGCAGGCAAGCCCCACGCTGCCCCGTCCCCCTCGCTTTGGGCCTTGCAAGCCCAAATCGCCGTGCGTGTTGCAAGCCCGAGTCGCTGTGCCGTGTGCTGTTTTGGGGAGGTCTGAGCCTGTGCATCTGTTTCCACCAGCTGAGGATCCGGCCCTCGATGCAGCTGCCTCGTTCTCCTCTCTGGCAGCAGAGCGGAGATGTCCCCCACCCACCGGTGGCGGGGGGGTTTGGTACCACATGGGTGCAAGGCTGCAGGGATGGGTGTCCCTGGGTGGCTGAGGGGCACCGGACCCCCCTGGGAGCTTGGCCCCTTGAGGGAGCTGCAGCTGAGCAGGTGGGAAATGAGGCTCAGTGCCGGGCAGGATGAAACTCAGCAGGTACCAGGCTCTGTGGAGCAGGATTGGGTGGTTGGAAAAGGGGCAGGGAGGAAATATCGAGGACCTTGGGGATCTGCCTCTTGCAGGCTCTGTTTGTCAAAGCCAATGACAGAGCCCTGAGACTTCAGCACACGTGTAGGCATCAGCCGGGGCAGCGGCTCAGCAGGGCTGTGCCGCGGCAGGTTTTAACTGCTCTCTGTCCTGCTGTTGCAGGGGGTAACATCTGTACCACGCGTGGCGTGAACTCCTGCAAGCAGTGCCTGGCCGTGAGCCCCCTGTGCGCCTGGTGCTCTGCAGAGGTAAGAGACGGAGGAGAGACCCTGGGCGGAGGCTGAAATCCCTCCCTGAGCTGGAGGAGGGAGGCCTGGGAAGGGAAAAGCCTTTGGGCTCTGGGGCAGGCGCTGGTCCCTGTGTGACGGCCTCGAGACCCGATGGGGAGGAGGCAGGCTGTTCTGCATCTCTTCCTCGCCATGTGTGAATGTAATCTGCAGCTGCATGTGGTACCACTGACCACAGCTTGAGATACGCATCTCAGGTCTCACAGGCTGGCAGTTCCTGTGTCGCTCTGAAAACCTGCTCCTCATCCGGGTGCTTAAGGGGAAGCTGCGCAGAGCTGGCTGGGAAAGGCTAATTATTTTTCACTGGGAATTCAAAATCGCTGCTTTTTCCTCCCCGCTCCCCCCCCACCCCAACTTGCTCCTGTGCCACCTGTGTGACAATGCAAGAAAATACAAAAAAAAAAAAAACAGGGGGGTT